CAACGTGCTCCTCTGTTCTCTGGTTCTGATCCGTGCTACCTCTCAGTCTAAAAATGTCCAGACGTATTTGAATCTTGTCCAATGTTTACATTATTTTTGCAGAACTTTTCAATGAGACGTGTGGAATGAATGGATTTTGATGACGCGACATTTTAAAGTTTAGATTTACATATTTTTCCTGATTGATCGATTAAAGGACCGTTTTTCCAGGTTCTAGACGGTTAATGATGCATTTTTTGTCATTATTCTCTAAAGAAAACCACTTAATGATGATTTTCCTTCGGTGCCGAATCAGAAGTTCATCGACTCATTTAAAAGTTCTGGTTCTGGGGCGTTCTGAGACTCTGGTGGGAAGCGTTTGTTATCAAATGATTCCACCACAGGAATCATTAATACTCCATCTGATGGATGTTATCCTGAATAATTTATGGGTTTATATTGTGTATAAACTAATGGCTGCCGTCATCTCCTCGTGAAGCTTTTAGAAGCGGAGCTGCTGAGTTTGTGGGTGTTCGTGGAAATAACAAAGGTGACGTACGGTCGGGAATCAGGGTCAGCGAACGTTTAAACTCATGTCAGCTGCTGGTCGACGCAAACGGAGCTGCAGCACAGGTGAGTCACGGCTTTGGCCTCAAACCTGGACCAGTAACGAGGCAACAGAAACAACAGAGAGCAGCCGCCGGAGCCAACATGGCTGACGAAACTCTCTGGCAAGGCAGCGCCGAGAGTTCAGGTAGTGAAGGGGGAAGACGAGTTCACACACCGAACCGTAGTCATGCTCATCACTCGGCCTTCGGATGTGGATCTTAGGACCCCAGGACTACAAAAACCGTAGTAAGTTGCTTTCTCACATCGAGTCAGATCATTTGAAAGCAGAACCAGAGCGTGACAACAGTCGAGACGTGTCCCGCTAGCGGCTAAACGAGGCGATGGAGGCGATGGAGGCGCTGCAAGGACGGATCAGAAAGCCCAACCTTCACGTGGAGGATCGTCACGGCGACCAGAGGACGACCTGCAGCCGCCATCGGGAGAAGAAGCAGCAGATCAAAGGTGAAAGAGGTGCGAAATGACCACGAACTGATACCAGAAGACCATAAGGAGACGCAAAATCAGCCCAGAGAGGCACACAAAGCCGCAGTGAGGCGACAACGGGTGGCTGCAGATACACAAATAGACCAGAAAGAGACCCAAGACCACCACGGCGAGAGAGAAGAACCAGAAAGAGACACAGTTCATGGTGACCAGAGGGGTCTGCAGCGACCTTCAGGGAAAACTGACGCCTGAATATAAGCCCCGCCCACTAACGTTAAAAATAAAGTAGATGCTTTTTTACGAACAGCATCGACGTTTCCTGGTGTAGCCTACCAGGAAATGTCATGGACCGCTATCTTCATCCTCCTCCTCAACGGCACTTATGTCTCGAGGCAAATTGGTGAAAATCGTATAAAAATCCACGAAGTAGCCGCATCATTGTTTAAGACGCAGCGTTCAGAGCGTGTGAAGAAAGTAGCGGCTTATAGTCAGACCATTTTAACAAAAGAATAGAAGAAGTACACAACAGCAGCTACGAGTAACAAAACCACCAAACCAAACATGACTACGGATGAAAATGGGACACAAAACCGCTAAAGTCGTCGTCTTCGGTGTCGGAGTCGAACAGAGTTACTTCTCAACGTCACTTCTGTCTCGAGGCAAATTCGTGAAAATCGTATAAAAATCCATAGATTAGCCGCGTCCGAATATTATCTTGTATTATAATACCATTGAAGTAAGTACAAAACAACAGCTAGAAAACATAAAGCCAACAAACCAAACATGACTACGGATGAAAACGAGACACAAAACCACCTCGAGGAGACACTCGACGGCGACAGAGAGCTGTCCTGTGACGTCCTGAAGAGTCTCAGGGAGAACGTTCACGGCGTCGAGTCGACAGGATCGTCGCTCTCCGCCTGGTCCACATTCGTCTCTCTGCGACTTCTTCGTCTTCCCCAACGCGAAGCTCGAGTTAAAGAATTTTCACAGGGTTTCGGACTTCCAGGCAGTTTTCTGAGCGTTGCAGGAGCTCTGGGAGCAGAGCGTCACTGCACAGGGAGGCTGAACCCACAGAGGTGTCGGCCAGACGTACATCCGGTGGGATGTTTAATTTGTCTTTTTCATCGCACCTTGTAGAAGTCTTTAGTTTGTCCAGAACCAGAACCACTTTAGCTGAAAAACACCAGAGATGCATCAGAGCGTCAGAAAAACGAACCATGCAGCTGAGAGCCAAACTGAGATTGTTTTTAAGATGTTACAGTCCAATCATTTGAATCAATCAGCTTTCAGATTCTGGATTAGTTTCTGGCTCATAACTCACAGAGAGGTTGAGGGTGTGGTCGGCCGGCCGTCCCCGTTAAGGAGCTTCTCACAGTGGAAAAGAAAGATCTGCTCACTCATCCTTCCTGCAGGATTTACGGCCCTGTCGCCGCTCCGTCCCGCTGACTCTGCAGCTGATGATTCACGCAGATCAAATGACTCAGACCTTGTGAGCGAAGCTTCTCGGGGCCAAACCAAGCCGGCAGGATTCCCCTGGATGCTCCCCGCC